CTGACAAGGTACCTGCCTGCTGAATGCTGTCCCTGCGTTCAGCAGGCTGCATACACATTTACAGCCTGGCTCACAGTGGTGACCTTGGAGGAGGTGGTGCTGCCCCAAACCCACACCTCCTGTCCTGCAGCAGCCCCCGGAGCACCAGAGATGCCAGACCCCAAATCCCTGCTTGTGGAAACCTCGCATTTCACCTGCCGTGTGCCAGGCTGGGGCAGTGATCCCGCCTGCATCCAGGGCTGCCGATGGGGCTGGCGAGAGCAACAGGCGTGAGTGGAGACCCCACCAACACAGCCCAGACCGCTCCTTCCCCTCAGAAAGCTGGAAGTGCCTTCTCCTGACATTTAGAAAGGATAAATGCTTGATTTAAACTAATCCACTTTAGCTAGACCTAGTCTGTAGGAGATTGTTTTGACAAAACAGCGCGGCACCCACCGAAAGCCCGGTAAAGTGGTCAGAAGGAGAGTGCCTGGCTCCAGCGCCCAGCCTGCCTCACCGGGTACTCGCTGTGCCCCTGGGCCTTGCAGCACATCCCCTGAGCTCAGGGGAGCAGTTCCCAGCCCGGCAGCCTGCAGAGCCTCTGCCAGGCAAACCCTGCCACGGGCAGGGGCTGGGGAGCAGGGGGAGAGCGGCTGCAGAGGGTGCTTGGGGGGGCCTCGAAGCCTGAGCCACTCGCAGAGGGCAGGCATCCGTTTTTGGGTTATCCCCAGAGCAAGCAGTTGTAGGTGCCTCTGTAAAACAGCTCTCCCCGTGCTGCCAGTCTTCTTGCTGCTTCTGCCAAATTCCAGTCTGGGGGAAACGTGGCTGGTGGTGCTGGAAGAAGACAACCGTGGCCAGGTCTGAGGCCCTCTTGTCTCCCTGGTCTTTGTCAGAAGAACTGGTTGCCATCAGATGCCCTGTTTTTACACCTGTTATCCTTTGAACCCAGGCTGGTTATTGTGGTACGCTTCATGTGGACGGAAAGTTAAACTGCTTCTCTGCTGCCTGCTATAGATACACATACAAAGGCAAAGCCAGGGATGGTGTGAGATGGGTAGAGGGGTGGGAACATGGGAAACCCACGAGAAACCCAAGCAGAAGCCATCCGTGCTGCATGGGTGAAGGCAGCCCTGTGGGTCCTGCCTGGCAGAGCCAGGAGCACAGCAGCCACGGCCCCACACGATGCTGCTCCTACAGCAGGGCAGCCACTGCCTGCAGTAACTTCGTTTCCCCAGGGGCTTTACGGTATAGCCCCACGCTGAGCCTATTGCATGAATCTGTCCTTAATGGCGCTGCACACTCAGGTATTTCATTAAGTGATTCCGCTTTATGTATGTGCTCTCACTGGTGCTGCTGGGCCTGAGAAACTTGCCACTGCTTTCAGTGGGAACAGCCTGCTCCTCTCCGTGTGAAATGCAGTCTCTTTTCCAGCAGCTGTTGGATACAAAAATTGAGGTACGGGTGACCTCTTCCCACGTTTCCAAGCACTGACAGAGCTGTGCTGGGGCGCAGCAGTGAGCTCCATGAAGGAGAGGCTGAGACAGCGGGGCGTTTTTGGAGGGGTGATGTGGAGGGGTGGAAGGAGAAAGGCATAGTGCTGAGGGGGCCTCGGCCAGCCCACCCTCTCCTCCTGGCTCTGTGCAGCAGTGGTGGCAGTGGCAGTGGCAGCTCCTGGCCCTTGCCCCAGGCCCCTGGCTGCGGTCAGCACGGCAGCAAGCAGGAGGCTTGTGCAGTGCTGCCGCCCGGCAGCCTTCCAACCACAGCCGGCCACAGAGAGAAGCGGTAATGGAATCGTGTAATTTGCTTAAATATCGCGTGGTAGGGTTAAAACACAAAAAAAGTGTGTCGTCTTTTAACATACTTTCTGATGCCTTTAATTTCCCCTACTGGTTTCAATAATGTGCAGGTGGCAATTACACTGCTGTCTAAAATTATGGGTTTGTAGGAAATAAAGCAGTAAGCCCTTTCAGAAAACCCAGGCAGAGCTGGAGTTAGACGCAGTTACCGGCACAGAAGCAGCCCCATGGGCTGTATCTAGAAGTGCTCATCCCAGGAGTTAAACGTGATGAGCTCTGAGCGTTCCTTCAGAAGAGTAAAAAAAAAAAAATCAAAGTCTTTACTAGTTTTTATTTGAAGTTTGAATTCGGGTTGCGTTCAGATCCTAGCATCACACTGTTTCTTGCAAGCTCTAATGATACGGTGTTTGTCTACGGGTGATTTTCTCTCTGGCGTGTATGAGGTGTGCATGAGGGGTACCTTCCTCCAGCAGCTGATGGCCCCCCTGGGGTCTTCCACCCTGACAGACCAGACCTACAAGCAGCCAGGAATGCACTGGGGAGAAATTACAAGGTGTAATTCCCAGGGGACACGTGGCAGGGCCAGCCCTGCCTTTCTAGCTGGCAGATCAAGGGCAGGGCCCACAGCTGCTGCCCCAGTGCCTGGCTGCAGGCTTGGTGCCCACGCAGCCACCCAGGTGTGGGGCATGTTGGAGGTCTCCCCAGGCCTGGTTTCTTCTCCAGGTTCTGCCCGGGCAAACCGTGATGGCTGCTGACAGACCACGTCACATTGCCAAGACCTCCGAGGTGATTTCCATGTCCCAAGTCCAGGCTGGCAGGTGCTCTTGCCCTAAATCCCCACGTGTCTCACTTCCCCCTCTACAAGGCACCAATACTACTTCATTCCTGCTGTAAATACTTCGGGTGCTTAGCCCCGTGCCACGCCAGCCCACCCCGCAGCACTCTCCTGAGGGCAGGCTGTGTGCAGGACAATGCCTCCTTCACGGCGGGCACCACGGCTGTGTGGTGGTGAACAAAACCCACGTGGAGATGCTGGCTCCAGAACCAGGTCAGGAGGTAGGGGATGGCGTTTAGTGAAATGGTCTCAGTTTTGGACCTTCCCTCTGCTAGCACTGCTTTACTCTTCTGTATCCCCACAGTACAACAGAGCACTGGTGGGTTTGACTGCCTCAAAGGGCAAAGCTCCAGAGGACAGCTAAGCACGGACAATCCCGCACTGCACTTGCGGCTGCGGGGTTGCCCTGATGCTGTGCTCTTGTTCCTACATGGACACATGCAGACCATTGCCTTTGCACAGGATGGCCTTGCAGAAAGCACGTGCATGCAAATATGCGCTGGGAAATCTATGAAGAAAGAACGCGGTTTTATACTAATTCCCTTAATTTATTCACACCAAATGTCAGTGCAGTGTCATATAAAAATCTTTAATGATTTTAAAACAAATGGTCCCTGAGGCAGGAAAATAGTTATAGTGTCATTTCTAAAATTAATTTAATTCCTTTGGAATAGAAATAAAAAAGAGTGCCTGCTCAATTGCATATGCATTACAAATAGCATCAGAAAATATCTGAGGCCTCGCCCAGCCCCGACCAAGCCGGGTTTCCCAGCCTTGCTGCCGGTCCCCTCGACACGTGGCTGCCGGCCCGCGTGCTGCAGGCACTGCTCCCGCTGCCGCTCCGCACGCCATAAAGAGCACCCGGATTAATTAGTACCTGTTATTTTCTTTACACAGTAGCAGAACCTATTTTTATTACATTTCTAAATGACTCATAATTGTGTATCTTCTTGCCATATGTGCACAAGCTCAGGACAGCATTGCACTGATATTCTGGGCCTGGAATCCTTCCTCTCCGAGCTCATGGGATGATCATATACGGTCCCGCTTCGCTGCCCACCACCCCGCTCAGATGCTGCCGTACCTACTCACCATATGCTGTGCTGGCCTCACGCTGGGCGCTGCTGGCAGCCAGCCCCCTGCCCCGGGGCCGGTCCCCGTCCTGGCTGCAGGCTGCGCTCAGCCAGTGGCCACGCGCCTTCCCGCGGGCACCAGGGCAATGCAGCAAAGGGAAGATAAGCAAATGTGGTTAGAGCTGAGCTCAGCCCAAGAAACCGGCAGCGAAACCACAGTCCCTCAGCTAGAGCTGCCATACAAACCCGAGGTTTCACTGGGTGCTGCGTGGCAGTGCTACCGATCAGCTGGGACCTCTGGGGAAACACTCAATAAACACAGCCTGGGCACCAAACGTTCAGGTCACATCGCCACCCCCAAGTCCATGAGCTTAGCTCAGAAATCAAGCACTTTTTTAGAAGATCATGCTATCATACTGATTTTTCACCTGCATTTTTAGATGCTTTCTGTGCCTCACCAAGTCAGACCTTGCTGCCAGACCTCCTAAATGCCCTGAAGGAGTGGGATTTGGAGCTAACAGTCCTCCACGCTGCTTATCTGTGCCAACTGCCTTCCAGCCTTTACCCAGCCTTCCAGCTCCTAACGAGGATCTAGATTTTTCCTCTTCCCCAGCCCTGAAATTAATTACATATGCCTTGGTGGTCCCTCACTGAGAAGCACATAACCCTGATATTTCCTAAATGTAAAGAGTTTGTCTTTGCAACCCAAAAGAACTAATTTTCTAGCTTTTAAAATGATGGTTTTAAATAAAAGCATCATTTACCCTGTGCAGATTGGCCCTCTGAAGTCAGAAGCTCTTTGTGCTGCCTCTGTTGAAGCTGCTGATTCACCTGCTCCTTTCCTCTGCTGCTCCCACTGGTGATCTCCCCTCAGGGAAATGGTTAACAGGAAAACTAGGTGAAGGAAAACTGAACCTTGCTGGATTCTAGACAGAAGCCTAGAAGGGGCAGTGTGAGATGGCACTGCAGAAATCGGCCACCCCTCCTGGCAGCAGTTGCGGGGTGGCTCTAAGGGCAGGGACACCTCCCACCCCTACCAGGCGGCCCAAAGCCCCATCCAACCTTAAACACCTCCAGGGATGGGGCATCCACAGCTCCTCTGGGCAACTTGTCCCAGTGCCTCACCACCCTCAGAGTAAAGAATTTATGCCTAATATCAAATCTAAATCTACCCTTTTTCAGTTTAAAACCATTCCCCCTTGTCCTATTCTTACACCCCCTGACAGAGTCCCTCCCTAGCTTTCCTTTAGCCCCCCTCCAGCCCCTAGAAATCTTTGTGGGATTGGTCAAGGATATCCCAGCCTGAGATCTGGGAAAGCAAAGGGAAGTGTTGGCTGTAATAATTTTTAGCACATTGGATAAAATGCTTCCGCTGCCTGGGAGGCAGCTTTGCTAAAAGGTTCTCTCAGTAATTCCATAACACCTGTAACTGGAGAGTTTGCTAGGGTTTTCCCACCTGTAGCTGGGATGACACAAACGTGCAGTGCTTTCTTCCAGGCACAGAACAGAACCGTTACCCGTGCTGCTGTTACATGGAGACTGGAGTCTGCATTTCACGTCCTACATGCATGGTTGCAGCATTAGACCACCTGTAAATGCAGACGGGTAGATTAATAAATTGGATATTTGTTCCATAATTTCACCTTGTAAGTCACATTTCTGGGAAAGCACAGGCACAGATTACTGAAGGGTAAATCTCTTCCCCAGCCTTGCCATCATGGTTGTGATCAACCTGTGTATTGAACCAGGAGAGGAGGTGGGCTGCTGAGTATTTTCTGTAAAAGTATGCTAGTAAAAACAGCAGAGCTAACCCGTACCTCCCATTGACGCGAGCATCGTTATGGGCACTGACAGGGAAGCGTTAGGAGTAGTACAAAGGTGGGAGATTTCCTGAAAATTGCCAGTGTGGATAATTAAAAAAATACCCAAACACATAAAATTATGTTCAGTGACTCAGTCCACACACTCCCACTCTCTCCTCCCACATGCCTTCTGATGCTCTGGGAGAAATTAAGCGCTTTAGTTTTTTTCGTGTTTTGTACTTGCAGCTTTGCATTTTCTCTCTCCTCATCTGAGGCTACCTCCAGCATGACGGTGAGTTTGCAAACCTACTGGAGATGCCTTCACCCATCCCAGCTAACCTGAAATGCTTCTGCAGAGAAGCCTCACAGCAGCACAGCTGCATTTTTAAGATAATGACTTTACATTGCTTATGGTTTATTTAAAGTACCCAATTCACAGTGGGCTTTTTAAAAAAACCTGAGGGATCATACAATTACCTCGTCCAAGGTTCTGAACAGGGCTCAAATTTATTGTGAATTATGCTCATTATGATTTTGATGGACTTTTGCAGAATAATGTGGAATCATTTTCTGCTTGTCTCCCACCTGTGTGGTTGAAATAATTCACAAATAGTTTGTGTTTGTGCTGTCTGTTGCTGAATGCTTTGCTTGTGGAGATATTTTCCAGAAATATTCTCATGGTTCTCCCAGAAAACCTGAGAAAATCACACACACCTGATGCGATGCGAGGCTCCTCTAGCCTGCATGCTGGCCTTCGCCTAGAGCCAGCTCTTCTCATAGCATCCAGAGGCTTCTGTATGAGAACAATCACATTAAAGTCAGGGACCTAGAGGAAAAGCAAAAGGGAAAATTGCTGTTAAGTACTTTAGTTTCTTTTCATTTCTTCCAAATCCATTACAATATATGCAGTTTTATTATGGAGGTAACACTATGTTTAAAGGAAAAATATCCAAAAGCATAGAAGGCAGCAAGGTGCTTATATCTTTTTTGCTTTAATTAAGAAAAAGGTAAACAAATCTGTTTAAATGTACATATAAAAGATCCAGTGTCAACAATTCAGTGTCCTTATTTCCAGCATTGCTGTGAAGTAAGTTAAATACCATGACTTTGAATTAGTGGCTGCACTTAAACTGAGGTGCCAGGTTCTAATTATTAACAGATCCGATAGCATCCATATGACAGTAGATTACATTTCAAATGGAGATTTGACATTTTAATTTCAGCTGTGCCTTTAAATTTATTCAGGTGGAAAATAGAACAAATGACCATCTCCAAATATATCATTAAGCCATATGTTCTTAGCCTGACTCTCCTTTCCTTTTAGTTTAAAAACTGGGCTAAAACGCAAGAGTACTCAGAAAAAGCTCCGATCCCAGCCAACTAAAACACTCGACTTCACCCAAGGTGGCCACTGCACCTGGCTGCTTATCAACAGACAGGAGTTCCTGAGCTTTCATGAAGCCTGAGGACTGGACAGGGGTGTCTGAATGCAGCAGCACACCTCGTAGCGAGGGCACATGTGACATGAGCAGCCGTGCTGCCAGGAGCTGGACATCTCCCACCTCACATATCTCCCACCTCACGCATCTTCAGCCTTCAAGAAACCTGTCTGCGTAGGATGGGGCTGTCCAAGGGCTGCCCAGCTCTGAGGCACAGCCTCTTCTGACTCACCAAACTCCATCGGTGGTGTCTGTGTACTTTCCTGCTAAGGACAACCGTTCCTCAGTCACAGCTGGGTGATTTGCTAGTCCTTGGGACAGGCCTCAACAAGGATTTTCAAGCTCATCTCCATGCTGTAGTGAATATGCCTTGCAACAGGTCTTGTGTTCCAAGACCCTTTAAAGCATTCTTGAAAATCTGTCCCTGGGGTCATCAGCTCCTTCCACACTGACAGACCTCTGTAGGACAGGAATAATTCTTCACACATGAACATCAAAAAGATTTGAACAAATAGCATGCTGGACAGATGATTGATTATAATTTCCAAAGCCACCAGTTTCATCTACAATATGTGCAATCCAGCAAAATAATGGGGTGATTAACAGGTCAGGGCATTAAGTGCTGGTAGCATATTAGCCGGTGACATGTGGAGGGTCAGTCAAAGACATTTGTCTGTGCATTGGAATAAGCTATTATGGCTCCACACACAGAGAAGCACAGTTTTAGCTCTCAGATCTCTCTTGAAAGTAACTTTTGCAAAAAGTCTGATTCATTTTAACCCACCGAAAAGTGGTAGTAGTACTCATCCAGGAGAGCCCCCCAGCCTGTCTCCTGATGGAGCTGGAGGTGTTGTAAAATTGAAACAATTTTTTACTAAACTCTTAGAAAAAAAAAATAAAGCTAGCTAAACTTGGGACACATGAGAAGAGGAAAGTAGTGTCATTTCCATTCTATTTAACATTTTTGGACAGAGCAAGCCAACTTATGGAAGCATGCCACACCATGACCTGGGAACTTGGTTTTTGCACTAGCACAGCCCTTGCTGACCTGGTGTGGGGCTGGCTCGGGGCTGGGGGTCACGGCAGGGAAGGGGCACACTGTGGGGGGTCTGCTCCCACAGGACTCGTCCCTGTGGCCGTGGAGCAGCCAGGCTCTCCGGGACTTGCGTTGAGTGAGTCTGAGCACGGCCACAAGCGGCTCTTGCTCCAGCACAGCGCGGCGCAGCACCGGGCAAGGCACGGGATGGCTGGGCTCGTGCCTCGGTGCCTGAAACAACTCCTCTGGAGCTGAATAGGAAATGACAGCACTTCTGTAGGTACTGTGGTGTCCTGCAGAAAGTAAATAGGCAATCAGAGCCGTGTTACAGAACATCCTGGGACATCCAATAAAACAAATGGAAAATGTACTTCATTTATGCATTTGTAGAGCACCGTTCACCTGGGCTGAGTCACTAGGAAATCCCGACAGACTTTCCCACGTGGAAAGGGCTGTGAGGATTCGGAGCTGCTTTACTTGCTGTTTGCACACCGAGCCCAGCACCCTGGAGCCCCGCACGCCGCGCCAGGCAGAGTGCGGCCTGCGAGCCCCACCGAGCCCGGCCTGCCGCCACAGCCCGGCCAAGCGCCTCGGCACGGTACCGCACCGCCTAAGGACAACTGCTTTGATCCCTAATGATTCTTCTAAAATTAAAGACTTTCGTCAACAGTTTCCGAGCTATTTTTGCTGTACTGCCAGGCTATAAAGAGGGCAAAAGCACCACCCTGTGGCTAGAGGAGAAATACATTTCTGGACGAGGCACAGTTGGACAATCGCGTTTGTTCTCCCGGCAGCTGGTTTCTGAGAACACTGCCCATGGTCCTCAATAAAAAGTGAGCGTGAGCGTACCTCCCTGGCCCATGGCAGCACCAGATGTGCCTGGGAATTCCCGCTGATTCCTCTAGGCTCCTGATCCTGCAATGGAAAGGTGGTAAATGAATCATGTTACTCCATGATGAACCGTATTTTCAGCGTAAACCCTTAAATCCGGGCTCTGTTGATAGTCCACCAAAGATGTTCTCCCAGGAAGGCCCAGGGCTGGTGCCAATCTCTCAGGCTGATGCAAACTGGGTCTCACACCAGCACTGATGGGCACAGCTGCCTGTCCAGTCATCGGCCTTGCTGACTGCCAAAAAAACTCATTGCAGTGGTTTTGCATCAGTTTCCCTGCATGTGCAGCTATGGAAGATCTCACTCTGACCACCCTCAGTGGAGGGGACCAGTTTCTCAGTTTACTATCCTTGCTGCACTAAAACAACTTTAAAATATCAGGCCCCTGTTATTTGCTTCTTCCTCTCTATGCAGGGTCAGCAGAGGTGGCCTGGTGTCCCAGCTCCTTGCTACAGGCACCCATGTACACTGGGGACACGAGATTTTATTTTGGATGGGGCAGAAACAAGATCAGGAGTGTATTTTCAAATAACCTATGGGCTTTTGAAATTGCTTAGGAAACCATTTTGATTGGCAAGTCTAAACAGTACATTACATATTACTGATTACTTTCCCCAGCTAGCAATAGATTACTGATTATTTTTACTTTCTTATGCATCATGCATGCGAATCTCTCAGCAAGACAATGACAGACTGCCTGATGGCGATCATGCTGACTATCTTTACATGACATATCATTTCATGGCCATCAAACTACCAAAACATCGTCTCTCATTCTCAGGACAGGGCTGTCAAGTACAATGACCGCCTGGTTACCCCGGATTTCATGGCAGGATTTTTAGATCGATCCATTCCTGTGACCACCCTTGTTAAAATATTACAGAAGGAATAGGCATTTCCTGCTATCGGCTCTTTTAACGTTTAGAATATTTTTAAAGTATTAACATATTGCACGAGCAATTGAGGACACAGCACGCACTGCCTAGTGTCTTCCAGGACAGATGAACCTCAGCTCAAAGGAGACGCTGCAGCGGTGCTGTGGTGGGGCTGGAGCAAGTTCTGGCAGAGCACCACGGTGTTCAGCTGCACCAGCACACCCTGCCTGCCCTGCCTGCCCTGCCCGCAGCCCCAGCGGATCGCACAGGGATTCACTGTATCACAGAGGGGGGTCAAAGGTTTCCTACCACCAGGTAGAGGGAAGGGCTGAGGAAAAATCATCCAAAAACAGTCACTTTGTTTTTGAACTCCCCAGCACATTCTATTTTTAATTGCTGCTAATGTGAAGATCAGTGACAAAAACATTTTAATAATTTCCCAAAATATTTGTGGTTTTAAAAAATGCAAAATGACAAATATTCACCTTGCACTGGAGAAGAGATGCTTTGCAAAGAGCGGACACAGCCAGCCTACATGGTTCAAATACAAATGAAGAGCTGCTGATGCCATGCTCTAACATAGGCATTATGACCACACACCCTTGTACTGAAGGAAATGCCCCCTTTTTCCTAAAATTCGGTGTACAGAAATTTATGGAATGATTTGTTTTAATGTGTTCACTTGGTAGTTCTAGCCAAAAAAAAAAAAAAAAAAAAAAAAAAAAAAAAAAAAAAAAAAAACAGTAAAACCTTATATCTCAAATATAGATGAAAGAGTAAAGCTAAGGCTCAGAAGGGAGACTCTTATCTTTGATTTTATGTTGATAAAGATAAGCAACTCTACCGGCTTATTTTACTAACTTGGAGTGACGTGCTGCTACACATATTTAGGGAACAGCTGGGCTGTTCCCTTTCTCTCCCACCTGCAGAAACTTCCAGAAGACTTTACTTCCTAAGTTACTTAAACGATTTTGCAAATTGTACCCAACATCACTCAGAGGACAGGAGAAAGATCAGTCGGTGGAAGCAGAGCCTCCCAAAGCAAAACTCGGCCCCGCGGCTGAGCGGGACGCGGGGCAGGCAGGAGACCCGCGGAGGGGCTGCGCCTCCATTTAGTTCAGGTCGCTGCCCATGGAATGAAATACAGGAGCGGCTAGACGAGGCAGGAGTGTGACTGCAGCCAGACAAACGTCTCCTAAACCATGTTTGAAGACATTTGTCTCAATTCCCGGCGGCTGCATAGGTCAGCCATGTCCCGGTCCCTCAGTATTTGCTATTCACCAACATGTGTGTGCCCGGTCCTGTTCATGCAAATATTAGAGGAGCATTGCCTTTGGTGCTAATGTCCACTTCCACATGCAAACAAAGGTATACATGATTGCACACCTATAATTCATCATATATTAGCCAGCACTTGTGATACCTTTATTAATGGTTTTAGCCCTTCAGGCAGGAGGCAGAGAAAATAATGTATAACTTAGGAGAGCAGTCAAGTACCTCAAATATTAAATAATTATTTTGAACAGGCTTTGAACACCCTACCTTGTGAGCTGAGCACATACAGAAGTATATATTTACAAAAATC